GACACTGTCAAGTATATTGTGCCTGCAATTTTTCCGCATTTCTCCTGTGCGGCTTTGGAAATGCTCGCACTTCATGCACGAGGTGTTCTTGCATGCAGTATTTGTTTTCTGAGATGTAGAGGTACTGGTGAACCATGCGTATCGAGATTTTCTCTACATGTTTCTCTCCTGGTCTCTCTCATGTAGCAGAGGGCCTGCAACTTTCAGTTGTCCGGCGAATAGCTGTCTGTTCGCGCTTGAGCGCTCGTATTCTTCTCTGTGCTTATGCCAGGAGTGGTTTGAGGTTGTGGTTACGCGCTATCTTGCTTTCCCTGCCCCTCATATTGGTATCTCAGAGCCGCAGGCAGGCTCAGGCAAAAGTTTGAAAGCACATAGTCTCTTTCGGCCAGGTGGGCAATGCGCATAGAGTTGAGTGTCACCCTATGGAGACATTAGATGGAGCGTTACATCGGAAGTCGGGGTGCTACAAACTTGTTGTCATCCCTCGCCTCATACGGGAATTCTATGGATCAACGACAGAGCCATATGATATATCTTTCCAGTGGACACTTGGTGCCTGTATTATATGTGATCTATTGACCATGCTGCCCTACCAAAGAAACTGCCGGCTTTTCGCCCCACTACCTACGCGAGTAGGCAGTAAGAGTGCTCCGCCGTGTGCCTCAGTCAAACATGCCATTGCGGGCCCTTTAGGCCCATTACTTCTCCAGAATAGGATTAAGATTACCCTTCAGCAACATACAAATAGATTTTCAAAGTGTTCTAGAGGTATTGGAGTAGAGCCAAACCCATAACATACTAGGGAAGTTATTAGGGCACGAAAAATGTTGTGCAGCAAGTAGACAATAGTAGCACACACAGCTAAAACAATAATAAGTGAATGCATTTTCAATATGTACGGAGTAGCTTAGGGCTCACTGCCTCACGCTGCATTAGCCAGCGTTGAGCCGTGTAGGGACACATCGCCGCGAGCGCAGTGAAAGCGAGGTGAAATCCAGCCCTTAAATATCGCAAAACGCCTTTGAAAAGCACAATCATGAAGAACGGGTAGACAAGACGCTAAACGTACACTTTCGAGCTGTGTGTCCATGCTGCAGTAGAAGCAGACGCTCGTGCGTGTGGCTTGAGGGGCAAGGGCACATGGCGGTTTATGTCGGAGCCCCAGCCGTTCAGTATCCCTAGAGCCGACTTACTGCCAATTAAAGATAATATGAAGGTCTCTGGGCGGCGTATTGAGTTTTATTTGCTGTGAGACTGCGGGTGCAGCTGCTCTGCAGCATGACCAAGCAGCTGCGCTCCTCTTCTCTAGCTTTCAAATCTCCATGGCGATGCGCTGCATTGGTTGTTTTGATCCAAGGCTGTGTATCTTCTTTCATCAGACGTGAATTCAAAGCCCCACGTTGGCGCTCCGTCGCCCGTAATCATAGATCCACGAACATTCCATTCTTCGACTTTTCTCCATCAGTGTGAAAAGGGGGCACCTTTTACGCAGTGGAGGGGCCCATTGGTGGGTTAGATTCAATAAATTTAAATAAAAATCGTTCTGTATTCATGTAATGGGACAGGAATACCAGCAGAATACCCTTGAAGCTGTTAACACCACTTGCAGCCACTGGCAAAGAATTCCCACGGTTCAACAGCGGTAACACAAGAGGGCGTCGCGCTCGGTCATCTTCGTACTGCGAAAATGAAGATGGAGGATAATCATCTCAGTACCAGCAAAAGGGAATCCAACCCGCTCCTCTCTTCCCGGCAAAAGGCTAGGAGCGCCGTATTGCTGTCAATACAGAGCGACATAGGCAAAGGCATTATGTATAACATCCGCCTCTCCAGGTGGTACCTTGCCTACTGCTCCCTCATGGCGATCGCCACCCTATCACTTGTAATCTTCATGATCATAGATGTACACTTTGTAAGCAAGCTGCTGACTATGACCAGGGTTCATTGTGCTAAGAGCTTTTAGGCGGTTGGGAATGGCGTTGGCATCGCTGTTGACGTTTAAGGCATATGCTCGAGAGTGCACAATACAGTGCTGCTGCAGTCTTTTGCCGCATACTTGATGTGCTCGCATTTCTGGAAGCTTCTTGTGGCTGAGGCTTTTATTTGGTTTGTCCGAACGTTGCCTTTTGCTGCTCATGCCTGCTCTTCCACCATTTTCGGTCGGCTTTCTGTGTCTGATGTTTGTTCCATGATAGGAAACGCCTCTCCGAGTAAAAACGCGAAAGTGCCCGAGGCATTATTGCTCTTTAGATCACCAGTGTTTGGCTTTGGCGTCTTGGTGTGTCTATGCAGCGGAAAAACCCCATCCCCATGTGGGTGTGTGCCATTGATGGCTTCATCACTTTCTCTCTATGCTTTGAAACGATTGCAGACATTATCCTTCTTGGAAAGGTATGCTGACTTTGACTCTTTACGTAACCCTCCAGTGTTGTATGCTCGTTGCCCCCTCTAAGTCCTTTCTCTATGGTTCCCCGTAGAAGCGGCTTAGGGCATGGCTGGCAGCTTTGGGATCCGGATCAGGCTTATTAGACTCATGGCGAGTCTCACCAGGAACATGGGCTTACATTTCCCCTGGGATTTAATGAATTCAAATCTGGTGTATGAATAATACGCTTTCTTGTGGCGCAGCCGTTCTGGAGCAGCGGATGGCACGTCTTTGACTTCTCAGTTGCAGTTGTTTGCTTTGTTAGCTGGCTACTCTTGCTTCTTGAAGTGGTAAGCGGTAATAGAGAATACTGCTAGGTTTTCAGCGTTGCGTTATTGCATCTCTACCATATAGAGATGTGCGTTTACCCAATCCGGTCTGTGCCGTGTGGGGTGTATAACCTGTCACTTACAAGAGTTCGCTAACAGCATTTCCATGAAAGTCTACAGTGTCAACAAGTAGTGCAGTGATTCGGGTGGAGTATTTGCATAGATGGGGGGTCGCTCTGTTGATATATTCCATAGGAAGCGAATACGTTCTCTGTACCCATGACTTCACCGCGTGTCTGCCTGAGGAGTCCGAGCTGTTTTGTGCATAACATTCTGTTTGTTTCTGCGTCTTCAGGTTGGAGTAGTGGATTCTGTAGACGAGTTTGTGACGGTCATCCTTCTTACTATTCGATATGCAGCACAGTTTATCAGGTTCGGCCCACGTCTGACGATGTACCACACCCCGCTTCTTTCTCTCCCTGCGTTCTTCTTCATCAAACAGTTTCCCAATGCCAGCTGTTTTCCTGTTGCCACCTCTTTTTTGTTTTGTCCATTACGTTCCTCTTTCCAAATATTGGCTGCATTGATGTTCTCTTCGTTCCTGGAATTCTCCTGTATTAACGTTAGCAATAAGGGCCATCGTTCCTTCCCCCTGATCAGCGTCTATTCCGCTCTATACTTTCTTTTAAAAGATTCATTACGGGGAGCTGTTGTAGTTTATATAAGTTGAAAAGCATCAACACCACCTGCTGTGTGCCCTGCTTTGGCAGTTCCCACGCATGCAGTGCTGCACAACTAGTACTATGCTACATGACTCTAAGGTACCTCTTTTCCTCTTTTCCCGCTGCAGAATTGTGCGCTTCATTCGGAGTGGAGCCGAGGCGCAAGACTCGCTTAGCGCAGTGGAGGAGCACGTGATTCGCTTCGACAGACCAGCGAGCCGGGCGGACACTAGTGTTTCAGTTTCCATCCCTGATGGAGATACAGACCCATGAATATGTACCCTTTAGCTACAGAATGCACCATGTTGTAGGTTTTTCTGATATGCTCTGTGCTGCCACAGCCTCTGAAGCTGCGTAAAGCTTCCACAGCATCTGAAGCTGCCTAGAGGGGTTCATTGCTGCATGCTCGTGTTTAGGCTACTAGTGTATTTGAACGGGTGTATGTTGCTGCATGTGCATGAGTGCGTGTGTTTGGAGGGGCGCAGCTCTGCAGCGCATAATTATAATGCGCTATGAACAATTGGCTCCGTTTCCTCTGTAGCTCGACTATATTCTAGAATTGCAGAAACCAGAAATTTTTTTCGCATGCGGGCATTGGGGTTTCGGTGAACCCAGTTGGAGCATATTTTGTCGAACTTGTGAAGTGTTGTGCCATCCAATGTAGCGCTCATTTCTGAAACGCAATGCCACTATAGTTCAAGCATGAGTTTAGGGCGCGCCCATTTAACATATGCTGAATGTATGTTCTTAAAGTGTCTATCCAGCCGGTGAACATTCAGTACGCTTCTGACAGTAATGCAATGGGTGTAAGGTATGTCTTAATCAGGTTTTCCAGTTAGAGAATGTTGCTTTGGAACATGATTTTTTACTTGAAACCTTAGTAGACATCTACGAGCCCTGAAGTGTACATAGAGCTTTTGTTCTGGTAATAATATGAAGCCCAGGGACGGGTGAAGCATCTACATTATCCCCCAACTTGAGCTTTGCCACTGCTTGCAACCCACGTTGTGGAAACGGGATCCGGTCCTCTAAAAGTTTAGTCGCTACAAAGCTTTACTGCTGCATTGAATTTCGAGAAATTTATCCCGTATAATAAGAAGTCATGTGCGGTGGACATAGCAGAAAGTTCTGCAATGCTTATTCGCACATACTGACGTTCCTAAACGAGAAACTGTTGAGACCGATACCTTGGACCTGAGCTTGGTGGAAATGCAGTGTAGGATTAGTGCGTCCGGTGTACCATCAAGAAGGAATTAGTGACCTTATGTAGACCCGCAATTTGTCATTAGTTTTAAGGTTTTTATGAGCTTACGTTATTTGTGGTGTGGATGGAAAGCTGAGCTTGATGGTAAGAATTTTATAAGCTTACACCTAGTAGCCCATTTGAAGAGTTAAGAGTCTGATTATTTTGTGAGGCCACAGGGGTTGCTAAGGGCGTTACGTGGAGTACAAGCAGAAAGAGAGCATTGAACTCGAAAATCAGGGTAGACGTGTGTGTAGAATCGGTGCCACCATGTAGGCATGACAGGTGAAGAGGAGTTCCTGGGGCGCCGGTGATACTTCAATGCGGCCTAAGTGCTTCGCCATCCTTCGACGAGGAGAAAGGGATTCTGAGGAAAAAGCATGCTAGTTAGGATTTCAAAACGATAGGTTCAATGCATTGATTATTTGTAGTTCGTCTTTGACTTCAATGTGTTATAACAAATTCGGTCACTAACCCGACGCAAGAAATGGGAATATACCGAATTGTATAATGAGGAGAGCAGGTTGATCCTGGGATATGAGATACGCACTATTCCACTGCTGCTCTGCGTGAGAGGCAGTAAAGTAATTTTGACATTTTGAATTCCGTTTCGGCGTCCTAAGAATCGGAGAGGTCGTCGCGTGATATGTGCTAAAAATGCACACACATTAAATCGCTGATGCATGTGAGTTAGCAGACCTATCCGTAGGCTGTATTGGGCCCCTTGGCTTATAGACACCACACGACTGAACTTCAATCCTAACATACAGCTATGACCGTGTGTGTCTCCACAGACGATCCCTCGATAAAAACTGTTCTTTTATTGGCGTTTACTGATGATTTCTGATGCTGTCGCAAACCTTCACACTGCAGCGAAGAAAGCGTATTCATGAAGGTGCAGGTATCCTATATGGAGATATCAAGCCCGATGCCCACTTTGCAAAACCCATGCACAATAAGCCCTTGAGGGGCCCGTGTGTTATTCTTTAATAATAACAAACTACGCGAAAAACATTTATAGCAACGATAATTCCGTTGCCGTGCTCGGTGGGACCAACGCAATTCTTGACCAAGACGTCCAAGAAAGTGAATCTCAATCCCCACACTTCTACTTGTACAACCCTAATTGCAGCATGTATGCAAGACACAGACCATATGAGAGCGTTTCCTTCAACAGCCCTTTTGGGCAGCTTAAAGGCAAAGATTCCATTAAAAGAGCCTGTTAGTAGGAACTGCGCCTAGAAGGCGCCACTAGTCAAAGGAGAATAGCTCGACCAATATTCTAGCGGCCCCCTCCTCAGACTAAGACCTCCAACGACAACCACTTGCTGCTGAGTTTGGGTGCCACCAAGAGTTTCTTTGACGCTATGGGGTATTAAGGCTCCCCGATTCTGGCAGGAGGCGTGTGGGTGCAGACAATGTACACGATAGCCAGGCTCTTCAGCGTTCCTCAAAAAGTTAGGCTTTATCTCAGCAGCCGATCGACATCTTTCCTGTTGTGATGATCAGTGAGATTATTCCACAAGGACGCCCTTGGTGCTAACAACAATCCCCACGTGTTCAAAGTGATTATGCCTCTTGCTGCACACCCGCAATTCAGACCCCGGTAGGTTTATGCAGAGAACTTGGTAAGAAATGTAGTTCAATGCTTTCAGTCTCTGTCTGGCAAAAGAAGATTATTTTGAGGTGGGCTTTTGCGTGCAGGCCTCGTTGGGGATTTTGGTGTACTAGCTTCCCATCGACACAGTGGGACTCGACGCAGCTCAGCCACAAGCAGCAGAATAAAAGCTGACTTTCCGTAATCTACTTTTCGATTAGCCCTGCACATAGTTAAGCTAATCGTGTAATAATGCTGAACTATGCGAAAACAATACAGAGCTGAGTCTTGTCTTGAATCCTCTTATATATTAAGGCTGATCATCAGAGTGGTTACTCGCTTCTGATGTATATTATTATGCACCTGCATTTACCCGCCTTATGGCTTGAGGGAGCTCTTAGACTAAGGGCGTGCAGATCCCCTAGTTCATTCAGGTGATGGTGCTTCGAGCGAGCCTTCACCTACAAATAAGACAGCTGGATGTGTGATTGTAGAGATAGCTTACTATAGAGCTCGCTGTGGGGCTTTTAGACTGTGAGCTTTATCACTTAGATGAAGCAGCATTTTGCCGAGTCTGCCGGCAACGATGATGGTGCTATTCTGTATCTGGAACTGCGGCAGTCTAACAAGAACCCGTACAGTCAGAGAAGTCCAAAAATCTTCGGAAGCCCCAATAAATTAATAGCACCAAGTACAGGCAAATGTTTTGGTTTCCGCTGCCAACGATCTGGGAATAATAACTTACTATACTTCTTGCGCGGAATGCATCCCAGTCTACCAGAAGATTAGTGAGAGCTTTCCCAATGTAGGATGAATCCACCATGTGTTATAATATGACCTGCTTTGCGCAAACGAGTACGGCATCCGGTCGTCCTCGACATGGTAGTACTTTATTTTGAGACTACGGACCTCGGCAATACTAGATGAAGCATGGCGCACAATTGCGATAGAAACAGTAACTCATCACATTAGGGGCGGTTGCGGTGGACGCCAGTGAATCGTTAAAGAATCCCGAGAGTGCGTTGCATATCACGATAGTCATTGCTTCAATCTAATTTGTCATAAAATCGTGTGGCAGAATTCACCCAATCCAGCGAACATCTCTAGGATTACCAAGATCCTGGAAATCTTCCCAAGGTACGCTAAGGGCCGATGGTCCGTTTGGACAGTAAACTGACGCGAATATAAAATCCGCCGGCACTTATTTAATGCACTAGCGTAAATGGGCCTCCTGGGCTTTAGTGAAACAATAAGCATGACAAGCAATGTTTTGGTGTTTCGGCGAGCTCATAGCCTGTGAGGAGAAGATGTCACCTCCTGCTTCGTCACTATCAATCTTTGTTCGAAAAGCTGACGCCATAATTCGGCAATGCAAGTACTCGAATAGCTACAAGAAAGCCCATAAGTTTCCTTGCTGGGGCATCAACCCCCTCCGTCGAGGTGAAAAAGCTGCGATTTCTGAAGTAGCTGAATAATGAGTATTGATCCAGAAAATCTAAGAATGCAATTTCGGGAAGATGTTACAAGTCGTAGACCTCTGCACCGCCTTGGCGGGTCTTTAAGAGTAAGGGCCCCATGTTGATTGCTTTGAGTTTTGCTGTGCCTTGCTAAGCTCCTGTATCTGTGTGGCGTATTGCGTGCAAGCCACGTTGGTCATTTGGGGTAGTGGCTTGTACATTTCCCCGAGTGGGTGACAGGGGCGCTTTAGCAAGAAGTAGTTGGACGAGAGTTTCAATATAATTTTGACTTATTCTTCGGCATGCCCTTAGTTAAGCTCGATTTCGTTGTTCGACGTAGAGGTGGTTGAATAGCACGCTGTCAATTAAGCTTGGAGCAACGCTTTCTCACAATCATTTAAGGCTAGCAAGATCCGTCCTAGCTTGTAATGTGGAGAATGGTGGCCCTGTATTAGGCTTGTTTTGGGGCTGATGGCCGCGATAGGCTATGGGCAAACATCACCCCTCGCCATTTGCGTGTTTGTGTACAGCGCGTAGCTTCATCTGCGCAGAACCTCTTGGACACGATTCATTAATCAAGATCAAATGCACAAAAGTCAAGAACTAAAGAAAAGACTGAGGCTACCTGTCGACAGAAGAACTCAGCACAATCGCACTGGGAGGCCAAGCTGTATACCGAACAGAGGGTAAAAATGAGAAGTACATTTAGAAATGTTCACCGAGAGTCTGGAGAAAACGGGAATGCGAGCACTGAAGTGAGCGTGAGAGGGACGCAGAAAAGTCCTACAACGCGTGAGCAGCGGATATCTCCAGTTATACCTGCGTCGACTAACAGGAGGAAAAAGCCGGAAAGGTACAGCAAGAGGAAGGAATATAGAGACACACACAGGGAGACAGAAAACTAGACAGCAGGAGTACACGAAGACAAAAAGCCGGGTTTCAATGTTTTGCAGGTCATATACGCCGTTTCGACTGC